GGTGTTGCTCCCGCGCCTCGCTCAGCCAGTGAGCGGGAACCGGTCTGTATGTGGGATCCGAACCCTCGGGCGGGAGCGCCGCCGTGCTTCCCAAGCGGCACACTATCCAGTGCGCCACCGGGCCGGCCCAAGTAGTTTAATTTCTTGACGCCTCAGTGTCCTCCTCTGTAATAGCATCTACCTCTTTGGGTTAAATGACATTTAATGAGACACTGAATGAAACCCACATAGTTGGCACAGTGCCTCGCCCTTGCAAGAGTTCAGGTCACGTCTGTTGTTGTGGGTGAGAAGGTAACACTGATAATCTTCCCACGTGTCCACAGAAGGCACGACAGACAGTGGCTAGCCACTTTGAGTATTTACATGCAAGACTTCTTGAGGGCCCTCCCCTCAATTTCTTTTATTTTAATAGAGTTCTAGAAGACTGCCATTTAAAAACTGAGTGCAGTTTGGTGGCTAGAATAAGAAAGAACCCGAAACAATGCCCTTTAGACATGTATTCCAAAGTCACTTTTGTTGGTGTAACAGGAAACAGTGTCTGGGGTAAAAGGTATTGCCTTGTATTTCCACTGTGCTTTCCTAACAGAGAGGTTACTACATTAATGTGTTACCCACTCCCTCCCCACCAAGCAGCTTTTAAAAAGTTTCCTCAGAGGCTGAATTATTTTATGCCAGGTTTCATGCTGAGAAGGTTTGTATAGCTGCAATGTAAATACATCTCTGTGAAAAGGTGCTTGCAATAGAACAAAAAACATCAGCCGTAAGCATTGTGGTTCTTCATAAACACTGCTGTGATCGTTTCAACGCAACAGCCCGAAGGAAGGGTTATTTTGGGATTGTTTGCAGGATGATATTTTGTAAGTAGATGTGAGGTGCCTTTCTTCTGTAGATTATACACTGATCCTTGCCTTTCTGTAGAGCAGGGGTGAGGTTGTACAATATCCCTTTGAGAGAGGAGACCATTGACCATCTTCCGTCCTTTTGAGTGTAATTACAGGGAAATTGAGGCCTGACAGAGGGCAATTATGGCTGGCTCAAGACTCCAGTTGAGTGGTGGTGGCCAGGTGAAGATTAGTGTGGATAGAGATCCTTAGGTGGCTGGCGCTTTCATTTGCACGAGATGGAAGATGCCAGAAGGATACAATTGTGTGGATTCCCCAGGGACCCCCTCCCACAGATGTGCTTGAGATCATCTGTCTTGTTTATTCCTATCTTCAGTTCAGAGGGTGCCTTTGGGCACTTTTGGTTCCTCATTTTCTGGAAAGTTTTTTTTCAGCTGCCGTGACTTACCCTGTGTGGCTTCCACATAGCAGCTCCACTGGAATCAGCCCTGCAGCCCTTGCAAGCTAGTAGACATTGGTATTTACTTGGATCTGGATGCTAGGGTAGCCTAAGAGAATTGACCAATTCCTAAAGGCTTAGGACCTGCATCTGCCTCTGAGGTTACACAAGGAGGGAGCACCCCAGCAGTCACCCCAACACATCCACTGTCAGGTATCTGCTGTTCCAGGTGAGAGGGATGGGGAGAGAGGCTTCCTGAGAATTTGTCCAGCCCACACTGTGGACAGAGGGATGTCTTCATACCAGTACCACAGTGCCACACTGCATGTTGCTCTGCAGGGACTCCGCTCTTGCTGGGTTGTGTGGTCATTTTCTGTCTAACTTGTAAAAAAATTGCCTAACTGTGATCCAAAGTTGCTGCACCATTTTACATTTCCACCAGCAATGTATGAGGGTTTCCATTTCTCCACATCCTCGTAGACCCTGGTTGTTTTCCACCTTTTGTAACAGGCATGCAAAGAGGTGTGAACATGGTGGTTTTGATTTGTATTTCCCTGATGACTAATGATGTTGAGCATCTTTTCTTGTGCTTATTTCTTTACTGAATCACCTGTTGATCATGTATTTTGCCCATTTTGTGATTGGGTTGTTTGTCTTCATGTGATGGAGTTGTAAGAATGTTTTGTAAATTCTAGGTAAGAAGTCCTTTATCAGATATGTGTTTGGCAAAAAATTTTCTCCCAGTCTATTATTCGTCATTTCGTTTTCTTAATGATGTCTTTTGAAGCACAACAGTTTTGGATTCTGGGTCGAGTTGCTGAACTTGTTTTCTTTCCTGGACCATGCTTTTGGTGTGGTTTCTTAAGAAATCATTGCCCAACCCAAGGCCTTAAGGAGTCTCTCCTTGGGCCGGCCCGGTGGCCGCACTGGATAGTGCGCCGCTTGGAAAGCGCGGCGGCGCTCCCGCCCGAGGGTTCGGATCCCACATACAGACCTGTTCCCGCTCACTGGCTGAGTGAGGCGTGGGAGCAACGCCGAGGGTTGCGATCCCGTTGCCGGTCCCCGGTCCGGTACGGGGGCAACACTGAGGGTTGCGATCCGTTGCCGGACACGGAAAAAGACAAAAAAAAACAAAACAAAAAAAGAGTCTCTCCTCGGTTTTCTTCTAAAATGTGTATGTTTTAGCTCCCACCCTTAGGTCTATGAGATCCACTTTGAGTTCATTTTACATACGGTATGAGGTAGGGGGTTAAGTTCACTTTTTGCATGTGGATACCCGAATGTCCCCACACCACTCGTTAAAACGCTGGATCCCGCTCTTGACCTCCCCTCTTCTTTTCCCCACAGATCTGCAAAACCCCTGAGCCCAGAACGGCCTCCTACTGCAGCCCCTCGGTGCCCGTGCACTTCAACATCCAGCAGGACTGTGGCCACTTCGTCGCCTCGGTGCCCTCCAGCATGCTCACCTCTCCCGACGCGCCCAAGGACCCTCCGCCCGCCCTGCCCTCGCACCCGCCTGCCCAGGAGCAGGACTGCGTAGTGGTCATCACCCGAGAGGTGCCCCACCAGACCGCCTGCGACTTCGTGCGGGACTCGGCGGCCAGCCACCGGGCCGAGCCCGAGGCGTACGAGCGGCGCGTGTGCCTCCTGCTGCTGCAGCTCTGCAATGGGCTGGAGCACCTGAAGCAGCACGGCGTCATCCACCGCGACCTGTGCCTGGAGAACCTGCTGCTGGTGCGCTGCACCCCGCACGCCGCCGCCCCGGGGCCCCCGGCGGCTCCTCCCGCCCCCGCAGCCGGTGCCA